AAAGAAAAGTTATCTTCTCGCTGTAATCATCGTTTAAACTGGTCCACGATAAAGAAATGCATTGTCCAAAGTTTGCAATACATTATATTTGTTTTGCCGCATTGATATGTCAAAACATTGTACTTACAATTTGTACAAGTATAAGGTTAACTGTGAAAATCAGATTTCTCCAGCATTTCCACTGAATGAGTGCATAATTAATTCATTAGTAGCGTTTCGACAGAGCCATCCTTAAAAATATTTTATTGAAAATAACTTGTACTGTCAGTTCTTAGAGTGAAATATTGCTTCTTTCAGGTTTGGGGACCCTGCCATGGGCCGGAGAAAGTTATACGCAATACGGTTCTCACTGCAGTTCATTAATATTTACTGAGCGACTTTACTAAAGTTTAAACATTATTACCTTAACCAGGGCCAATATTGGTGGTGGTTCGGTTGGCTGAGAACGGTTGTCTGTTGACTTACTTGAAGAAAAACAGAAAAAACCCTTATGTAAACGATAAGTGTCACGATTCTTCACAAATCGACAAACTAAGGATCGCAAGAGACGTTGCTAATGGAATGTTGCACCTTGCCACTAAGAAGGTACGTGACATTGCCCGTTAAAAGAAAAAGTGGAACTAATTCAAAATTCTCGAATCTGATTGGTTACCGGCTGGCCCTTTTTTTGTTGCATTTGAATGGTTCCCTCTCTTGTCGGAATCTCGAAGATAATTCGAATACTTTTAGTCGCCAAACAGTTTCGACTTTTTTGTTTTCATGAATTTGTTATGATTATCGTCAATTGGCAACACTCAGGAATTCTGCTTTCCATATCTCTCTTTAATCATACTCGCGATTTTTCTAATCACTCGTATGATTACAAACACAAACCGAATTGAAGTCAACTCAGTTCATTGATAAAGTAGTGGACAACTGTGTGACGTCACAAGATCTAAGATAGGGTCGCACAGCTGCGCAAAATCCAAAATGTCCGTGATTTTCCAACTCCTAAATGCTCGTCTTACCTACTTCAAAAAAATTAAGTTTAAGCAGCAATTTCTTCCGGAACAAGATATTGCAGGCCTACATTAGATGTAAGTGCTGGCAAATATAGGCTGCCCAGATATAAGGGTGAAATCTAAAGAAACTTAACTTTTCTCTCTTCCTTCATTTTCTAGTGCGTTCATCGTGATCTTGCAGCAAGAAACGTGCTTCTTGGCAAGAACAATGTTGCCATGGTTTCTGACTTCGGCATGTCACGCGATGTCTACGAAAGTGGTGAATACGAGAATACAACAGGGGTATGAAAATTTATATATAAATTAATGGTAGTATCTAGAAGAGTATCCAGGGTAGGTCTTGCTGTACTCAAACGAGTATTAAACTATTAAAGACAAATGTGAATACAGACAGAATACAGACAACGCGAAACCATGTTTCCAGATAAACGGGCCACACATAAGTCAGACTGCAAATGTCTTGCAGACTTTTTTAATCGAATTCTGTCGCCGTGTCTTGGAGAAATCTCCAAAAACTAATTTCAATTTATTCTGCACTCAGACAACATCTCCTTCATGGTGTTCTAAACGCCTTTTTTGCGAGCAGAGAAACTTAGTCATAACGTTAGCACTGAAGTTAACAAAAACGCAGCAAAATTTTCATGGTAGTGTTCCTTTAATGGTAACTAGCTGGTATTTCCTTTTGACATACAGTTTCCGAAACACAAAATACTTGACAAACTATTTGTAATGAACTTGTTAAATAGCATAGTGGAATAAAATCCAGTATGGACTTATGCTTTGTAGAGTTAGCCGAAGATCTGTGCTCTTTATTAGGGAATGTTACCAGTTCGTTGGATGGCCCTGGAGTCTTTGGAAGATTACCCATACAAATACGACACCAAAACAGACATGTAAGAGAAGAAATTATTTGAAGCAGACCTTCTAAAAATCCCGGGGGGGACTCCGATGTAAAAAGGACGGGGGTGGTCGTCTAAAATTTTGAAAAGAACCCCTAAGAGGAACCAAGATCCTGTTTCATGGGCGTGGCTTGAAATTTTTTCTCCCCTAAGAGGTGCCGATTCTATGATAACGCATTATCTCCCGTCATATTTTTTTCGCTCAATAGCCTTAAAGGTACCGCAAAAACTCACGCTGTGGACCTTTTGAGGCTGCACACCCTGAGAGGAACCAAAACCGCGTTTTTAACCCCTAGAAGGTACGACGAACACCCGCTTCCTTTCTATATGAGAGTCCCTCCCGGGCTAACAATGCCCTTTTTAAACCGACGTTTAGGACTAACACCTTATAACTAAAAAACTCATCCATCCACGAGTTTGAATGCCATTTGAAATTTACGGGACATTCTATAGTGAAAGGATGTCTTCAATATCGCATGTTATTATATGGTTAGCTCCGTGAGCGGGAAAGGTGAACCAAATTCTGCGCTGTGATTGGCTACCCGAGCGGGCAAGATGGTGCTATCTTTCCCCCTCGGGACTTCTCGCTGTGTCCCGTAAGAAAAATTTCCCCGAAAGCCATAAATTGGCCATTCTTGTTCGAGCAAGATGGCGAGATATATATATTGGTCTCGTTATTTTGGCCATTTTCCAGCCATCTTGACCGATCAAGCTTGGTCCATAACCTATATTTATTTGTCGATTATTTCTATTTAGAAAGTGGAGAAAAATACGAATATTTAAGAAACTTCAGAGCAGAAAACGTTATAAGCATGCGCGAGTTTTGGCTTTGCGCCGGGCTCCAAGTTTGAAAAAATGGTTGGAATTTCGGTTACGAACTTTGTATGTTTTCCCAATATTCCCGGTGAGCAGCGACATTTTATAAACGTCGCTAATGGAAAGCTGGTGTTTTGTTTTCGTGGGGAATCAGTTTTCAGTTTCAAACAAAATTAACCTAAAGACGGTTTCCGAACCCCTTTTATTGCCGCGCTACACAAACACACTCACACAGATTGCATCCATGTAAGCCAGCCAATGAATATATAAGCAAGAGAGCCTCGCAGCAGGTAAAGGTAGCCTTGTTTTCTTAACAGTGAAATGCCGAGAAAAATTCATGCTTATCCTTGTATAAATAAATGAACTGAGCGACATTCTCGCGCACCTTACCACAGTCCGCCGCTCTTTCCAATCATTGCAAACCATTGCAGCTTGCATTAGTACCTGAGCCCGCAGTAGGGCAAGGGATGCGTAGAAAGCTGCGCAGTACGTTTTTTCCGCTCTGAATTAAGAAACAGCATCTTGGTTGGCCGATTTTGGAGTAACTCTAACACCAAGGGGAAATGCTTTAAATGTTTCAACATATTAAACCTGCTGGTCTGCCTCTCATAAAAGACCCTAGTATAAAAGTAATGTACAAGAACAAGACTTCAGCTGTTACCCACAAGTGATTTGTTAAGCTTAGCTAATTTCTACAGCTGTTCAAGGCACGTGTTAATAACTTAGGACATCACGTTTCTTTTGCAGATGGTCATTTGGTGTGGTGTTATGGGAAATACAGTCTGGAGGTAACAGAATTATGATCATTTTGTCAACATTTTCTTGAGTTTAGTGAGCCCGGATAAGCGACGGGAAAGGTTCCTTCGTTGCACATTTACTATTGGATGATGAAGTCACGTCTATTTTGTTTTTCATTTCTGTGAGGTAAAACGCCGTATTCTGGTCTTGGAGGCATGGACGTTGTCGATTTTCTCAAATTAGGAAACAGACTAAAGCAGCCTGACGGATGTCCTGACGAAATGTAAATGATATGTTTAGAATATTTATACTGTTGTCTGTGCATTGTTTTTGGTAATTAGATTTTCAGTCGTAAACATGTTTCGTTTCGTTTCGATTTGGTCGTGTTTGCTGGCTAGGTTGAGTTTAGTACAGTGGCGATCCAGACCTTGAGCTATTAAAGGGGGGAGGGGGCGGCGCTTTTGTTTTGCTTGCCTTGCCGGCTTTTCTTCCTACTGTGATTTCTACTTTTTTTATCCAAAATAGCGGGGGGGGACAGCCCGGCCCCCCGGGCCCCTCCCGTAAATCCCCCATTGTAGTAGTTCGGTTAAGGACAAGTAGCGCTCGGTAGACGTCAAACATTTTCATTTCTGAAAGTCGACCCTGATAATCCTACACCCTAGTAAAGTTACTGAAGCATTCTTAGCATTTGAGTAATTTAAAATTGTAACAATCTATTTTTCTTGTCGTAATGACAGCTACGAGATCATGATATCATGCTGGCGCCTAGACCCCTCGGAGCGCC